AGTGAGTTCCAGGACAGCTGGAACTACAAGGAGACTCTGTCTCAAAAAAATCAAAATATCTGGATATTTTTAAAGTTAACCACACTCATGGAATTTCAGGAACCTGAAAATTAATGTAATAGAAACTAGCAAAAGAAAATGAAAATCCGCGACAGTAGTGCTTTAGGACTTGCAAACAAAGCTTCTCTCAAGAACTGCTTTTTAGGTCATATTTTAGTTTTCAGAAAATTTGAAACAAGCTGGTCAATTATTTTCCTCAAACTTTAAAACATAAAAACATTACTTTGAGTTCTTCCTAACATATTCAAATAAGATCACTCAGGTTAAGACATTTCCAATTTAACACTGCATCGCTGTGCTACAGAGAAGGCCCCATGCTTCAGTTTCTCTCTGCTCTTCCATGCATGCACATGCTTTCTGCTTGGTCATCCTCATGCAAAACTATTGTGCTTTCTCACAGATTCTCACATGCTGAACTCCTGCCAACTTCAGACATTTTAGAATGCACTAGATACTACCAGGGTGTACAAGATGCTTTAGTACTAATGTATTCTTGCATTCTATTTGCTTTTTTAAAAAGAGTTCTCCCTGGGCCATAACTTAGAGTACTCTCCTTCCCTCAAAGGTTCGTATTCACAGACTCCTGCATAGAAAAACAGCCTTCAGAATTTATTTCTTCCTTTGAAATTTATAAGATATAGTCTAAAAGTTCTAACACATGTAAAATATAAATGATAGCACTGGACAGATTACATGCAGATAGCATTTCAGAAATAACAGCCTCTCAGCCATTAACCATTAACTCACATGCTATTTCAATACAAGCACCAAGCAAGAAAGCTAAATATTTAGTACTCTCTGATGGTCAATAAATTTGAATTATTTCCAGTCATTGCTAATACATTAGCAACTGCCTATAGCTCTGACCCTACAAGTTGGTAAACACATTTGAGGAAGCAAAATCGCTAGTAGAATTGAAGTTGATTCAAATAGTCCTTTAAAATTCATGTTTTTACTAGTGAAATTAGTGCAAAAATTCCACTCATCCCTTTTCTAAGGTTCCATTCAGTCATACATAACATCCTTCCCAAAATATCACTAAAAACTTATCAAAATAATGGACAGCCTTTTCCATAACCATCACCATTTCAAAGGTGAGTCAAAAAACTTTCCTGATCAGTCCCTGACTTAAAGCACTTTAAAAATGAGTAACTGAGTTAAAATGCAAGGGACAGAGGATCCCTACTTTCCCTATCACTAAGTATCTTGATCATATTTGAAACTTTAATTCCAACTCAGTATTAAGAAAAGAGTAAAACAGAAAATATTCAATACAAATTCTACAGGAAAAACTAGCTTCAGAAAACCATGTTAGGTTACTGTTTGGAACCTGGGACACTGATCTCAGATGAACAGTGTTATGAATGCCTGTTAAGTTGTCCCAGACAAGCAACAAACCTTTTTAATCCATATATTCCATGCAGGAAGTACAATAGCATACTTATAGCTCTATAAATGTTAGCAGGCATAAGTAAAAACATTCAACAGGAAAACTCAGAAACCCAATTAAGGTTGCCAGGAGTATGTACACACACACACACACACACACACACACACACACACACACACACACGCCGAGTAAGGCTGTGGTCACAAGACCACAGAAAAGATGGTAGGCAAGAAGTGGGTAAGGTCTGGGAAAGGCTAAAGACCAGCCCTGGTCAGGTACAGTGGGTGCTGGAGCCTCAGTCCCCAGAGTTCAATCTACCCAGCAGCCACTCTCCACCCCAGGTCAACCCTCTGCCTCTCTTTCACCTCACTCACCTGCTATCTCTGCCCAGGATTTTTCCTCCTGTACCAGGTAAAAAACTGTTCAAGGCCTCTCAGATACCTCCATTCACAAGCCCACTAGGTCTCACACATTTTACTGCTGACACCAGCAAAGCATTAGTGAACCCTGGTACAGAGCTGTGTTTCAGAAGGAAACAACTGTATTTATTGTAATTTACTACAACAATTTAGATAAGCTGGAGGAAAGTGGAGATGGATGGATGGATGGATGGATGGATGGATGGATGGATGGATGATGGTTGGATGGACAGAGGAATGGACAGATAGATGGATAGATGGATGGCTTCTCTCTGGATCCAGGCAGGGATCAGAGTGGAACTAGTGAAGGAAAAACTTCAACAGCAGAAACCAGAGGGAAATGGGAGAAGATGCCCCCAGGACAGTCATGGTCCAACAGAAAAAAAAAATCAGGACTATGTATGTCAGGACCTGTTTATTAATAAAATTTCAAGTATTCAAAAGACAAAACACAGTTATAAACTGCATTATAAAAGATAATAAACACTAAACTGTCTCAAGAAGACAGTTCATTTATTTAATGTAAAATTTGTCTCAAGTGTTGTTGATGTTAACATGCTCTGTTCAATGCTGGTGCCAAAACTGCAGTTTTATAGTAAATTACAGTGGCCAGATAATCTGAGTCAGTTTCCCATCCAAGTTTTTCAATCACACCTGGAAACATTTAAGCCTGTCATGCCATGTATGTTAATAGTGAGAAGCAAGGCCTGAAGATTAACCACATCTGAAAGTTAAATTATCATTTCACACAGCTCCAAAGGATCACCAATAACGTAATATGGTCAGTCCCCAGGAGTAAAAAGGCAGTGTGTGACACATGGGGACGCAAAGCTAATCATCTCCAAGGACTTCACAGACAGTTTTATCAAAGAATTTGTAAATGTGTCACACATGATTTGTAAAGTTTGCCGTGGCCCCAGTGGTCTTCAAATTCAGAAATGTAATTTTTCAGCCAGATAAAATTTCAAAGCATTTTTAAAGAAGTGTGCTTGGTGCAACTTTTATCCAGGAACCAAAAGCACAACTATCCAGCTACTGCCCAATGTGTACTATCCTCTCTCTCTCTGAGTTAGTAAACAACTTTCAAGGGACACAGTGACTAGTAGAACTGGTTTATTCAAGTGGGGGCTATAAAACCAATAGTCAGGAGTAGTCAAATGGTAACTAAAGTTCCATTTCTACAAAGAAGTGCGCAGAATGGTCTGACTAGGTACCTTGTAACTCTATTAATGTGATGAATCACTCATAATTTGGATTTGTTTTAGCTAGAAAGCCTTAAATGCAGAATAAGCATTGAGTCTTTCTAATCAACTTCTTGTCTAGTGTTCTCTGCCACTACTCTCCAAATTACAAGGTTGAGAGATTTTTGCTGGACACACACACACACACACACACACACACACACACACACACATTTTTTAAGTGATTAAAGCAAAAAGATGCAAAGGGGTTTCCCAAAAGTCAAAAGATACTAATGGACAGAGGAAAAGGTGATCCAAGTACACACAGCCAGCTGGGAGAAGCAGAGCCTAGGCTGAATGAGCCTTCAAACTAGGGCTGGGATCGAACCATCTCCCACCACATACTGGAGTAAGGCCCCATCTTCTCCCTGGGGTACAAACAAGGAAGCAGTGTGGACTGTTTTCCCTGAAACAACCTTCCTTCCCAGGCTTCTCCTGGGGACTAGAGTCCACAGCACTGTATATCTGGGTCCCTCTAGGCAGTAGAGTCTACCAATGTATGCCCAGGTCTCTTTAGGCAGTAGAGTCCACAGCACTGTATATCCAGATCTCTCTAGGCAATAGAGTCTACAGCAATGTATACCCAGGTCTCTCTAGGCAGTAGAATCCACAGCACTAAAATCCAGGTCTCTCTAGGAAGTAGAGTCTACAGTAATGTATGGCTGGGTCTCTCTAGGCAGTAGAGTCTCCAGCACTGTATTATACTACTCTAATCAGGAAATATTCACTCTAGTGTTCATAACCTTGAGGTGTTTTCAAATGTACAGAAATCTTCAGACAGAATCCAAACTCTGCCTGTTTAATAATACAAAGTTACAGCAAGAACATTTTCTGGGTATTCAAAGCTACAAAGAAGCCTGATTTTCTGGCCCTCACCCTGGCCATGCCACTCAACCTGCCATTCTGACCTGTGCCACAGCTTTTAATAACTGTTTACAGCCACTGGGTGTAAGTATCAAAGTGGTTGTTGAACGATAATTACTTCTTGCAACATACCTGTTGACAGAGACAGGCAAAAATCAGAGTCCAGGCTTGGGTCTGAAAGGAACACAATATTACTATGCTTTTGAAAGCCAAAATTTCAGATTATTACTGAAACGACAGTCAATGTGAACCTGAGCTGCCTTTTCCCTTCAAAAACACTACCCCAAGAAACTATTTCTTTCACAAAATAAGGAACGCTATGTTATCACTCAGATCAAAAGGCTCACTGGAATGGAAGCTCCACAGCTGCTGGGTCTGCATCATCCACCCCTGTGCTGCAGGTGACTAGCCAGGGCCTCCACCAGTCACTCAGAAAACACCCGTGCAAGGCAGGCAAAAAGAGGCAGGCAAAGTTAGGGAAGGAAGACAAAAAGTCCTCCTCAGTGCTCAAGTCACTAGGCTGAGGAGAAACAAATGTTAGAAATGGCAGCAAATTACTGCTCATGAGATTTCCACATGACTCTGCTACCAGGATTCCTGGTATTCCCAACTGTGTCAACAGGATAGAATTTCATTAAGTTTAGCTTACTGACAGGCTGAGGGCAGGCTAATCATGATTTCCAACTACAAAGCCACCATTTTAATAATTGCAAATACCATCAGCATAAGATGCACAGGCAGATTCATATTTACTTGTTCAAACACAGCTTTCTTTAATGTGATAAAAAGTAATCTCTGAATCATCCTCATTCTATAGATGAAGGACAGTGGGATTTGTTATTGACATGTACAAATTGGTATTGAATTCGCACACAATGTTATCTTAAAATTTAAGGTATTCTCATGAGTTGCTGAAATGCTAAAAGGAAAATGTTTAAAAAGAGGGAACTATATTATATAATATATATCCTAGGCCTGCTAGAGTAGAATCAGCAAATAGCTGTGTTGGGATGTTTCTGGACTCACCTCTAGCCAAAGCTTTATTAAGTTGTAAAACAGCACCTGGCAGACTGGCCTCTCAGGAACATGATCTGTACAGCTGTGGCTTGGTGTCAGCATAGGTAGGTTTGGTGCCCTTCCAGATGGTTCATTTCCATCAAGACGTCAGGCTTCTTAGGAAGAGGGCAATAAGAAGTTTCAGTAAAGGACACCAAAACCAACCATAATCATCGGAATTATTTGCAAGCAATATTCCTGTCTGTGTTAAGTGCTTGAGCAACAAAAAAGAAAAAGATGAGTGTTTCCACCCAGTAGAAGATGCAACGCAGAGAGACACTGAGCAACAGCTCACAGGAATGGCTGCTCCAACAGCCACTTCTGCAAAGCTATCACACAGGGGAGATGAACTGCCTATGAAGAAGAAAGGAATATGTTCTGTGGGTTTGCAAAGACTGTGAGAGACGACCCTTGACTCCTTTTCACTGTAGAGATGTGGGCAATGGGGTTCCTCAAGGGGCAGAACAGAGATTAGATGCTGAAGCTTAGGAATTGGTAATGCAGCAAGGGACCAGCAAACCTACACAAGTGGGTCTGGGCAGCATTACAGGGTCTGGCAAAGCTATGGACTTCCTTCTTGTTCTAATCAGGATAGGAAATCTTGAGGGAGGGTCTGGACATGCTGGTGGCTAAAGGCCTGCAAAAGACCATCCAGATATCTAGGAGACTGTGAGGTAGACTGCATGGAGGTGGGCAGGGGAGCACAGGCAAAAAGATGGGCAGAAAGAAGCGAGACGACTGCTCTAGGCTAGGTGTGCAGCAGTGAGCGCACAGAAACTGGGAGATCTGGAGGGAGAACTGGTTTGGGTGGAGGAAGCAATGGGTTTCGCTCTGGTCGTGCAACACTGAAGGTGTGAGCAAGATACCTGGGAGAAGTGTCAAGCAAGCAGTTAGAGCTCAGGAAAAGTCGGGCTATGGCTGTACATTTGAGGACTATCCAAACAAAGGTAAAAACAAACACCACACTTGAATAAGATCACAAATAAAGAAACATACTGACATAGTGGTGAGAAAAAAAGTACTTAAAAATGCCTATCTGAGGGCTGGAGGGAGAGCAGGAAGGAAAGCTGGCCCTGGCAGTGGAGGACTGGCCAAAGACACTGGGAAGAGCCAGATTCAAGTTCAGCTCAGTTCAACATGGTTCATCAAAGCCTGACATACTTGAGCATTATACTGAAGTCAAAACTTGAAGTGATTTTGAGGGGCTGAGTGCTTAGCTCAGAGGTAAGGTGCTTGCCTGGCATGTGTTGGCCTTAGTTGGCTCACAGTAATAACAGCAGCAACAGCAGTAACTATGTGATGTCCAGAAAATCAAATTGGGGCTGGGAATGAAGTGCAAAGACAGAGCCCTTGCTAGCACGGGTGAGACCCTGTGGTTGGGTAGCTATAAAAGAACTCAGGAGGCCATGATTATAGTCATGGGTACAGAAGAGACTTTGTAACCAAAAAGAATCACCTAGCAACTTGAAGTGAAATTTGAAAATGGATTATAATGGAAAATAGTCTAGAAAAGCATACATTATCAAAATTGCCTCAATAATAAACTAAAAATATGTAATAACAATTAAAATCAAATTTACCTCAGATTCCCTTACAGAGAAAATAAATGGTATATCAATAGCTGCAAATCAAATAAAAAAGAATGCTTGGAAAAGGTTCAGGAAAGGGACTTAACCTGGAAGGAGGTACTAGTGGTCCTGATATTCTGGGTGGATTCAGTTATAACCAACTATACTTTATGAAAATAACAGTGTATGCCAAACCAGCACTCCAATAATAATGAATTCTATCTGACACTCAGGAGACCCTTTGTGTCATTTTACAAATGGAAAAGAATGCCTTCTAAGTACCTCCAACTTCTTTTAATATTCCATTATGGATATATCATAAGAGAACACATTTTATAGTCTCTATACCATTGAACACTAGGAATTTCCACAAGCTTACCCTCCAATACCCAGGGGAGCTCTTCATCCTAAAACTAACTTTATAAAATCTCTAGAAGCACTCTTCCCCTGGTCTCAATTCCAGCATGAGAATTTGAGGAATTGATCTAAGGTCCCAGTTCAGTAATGTCACTTACATCTTCTGAGTTTTAAAAGCCTGAAGAAATGAGCATTATATCCACACAGTTATCTTATTTAACAGAACAACCTACAGCATCTATCTTAGATGTGTATAAAACCTGATTTTGAATAATGGCAAGACAGCATATTGCTCTCATTATCTTCCATGAAATACCTAGTCTATTAATGATCTTAGCACAGTTACCTATGGGAAAATCTACTATATTACTGTGATAGCTAATCTTGGTAGTCATCTTGATTGAATCTTGGCAGATAGGTCTGCCATATTTCCTGGAAGGGTTGGTTAACTGAGGGAGGAAGACCCTCTTCCACAGTGGGTGGCCCAATACAAGGAGGTCAAAGGAAAAGCTGTTGCCTTTGCCTGACCACCTTCACTGTTTGCTGGTGAATGCATCTACTTTGTTGATGCTGCTGCTGCTTCTACTGTCTCTGCCATCCTCCACAGACACTGGAACCCAGCTCCTTTGGCCTTTCAATATGGGCTGAAGATCAAAGGCTCTCTAGAAATCCCCCAGGCCTTCAGTGCCAAATTGGGACAACTGAGGCATCCAGCCTCATGGACTGAGTAGCTACAGGGTTCTCAGTCTCTCCAGTGTGTAGATCATCATCGTTAGACTATCCAACACATATCATGTAAGCTAATCTAATAAATCCCCTTTGTCATACATTCATTCTATCAATTCTGTTCCTCTAGAGAACCCTAATACACTATATTATTGATCCCTATCCTGATTATAACTAAGTTCAAGGAGCCTCAGTTAATAGATGTAATCTATGGGGGCTGGAGTGATGGCTCAGTGCTTAAGTCTTGCAGAAGACGCGGGTTCAAATCCCAGCACCCACATGGCAGCTAAACAACTGTCCATAACTTCAGGGGATCTGACAGCCTCTTCTGACCTCCACGGGTACTGCACGACACAGGTGCACTTACCTACATGCAGGCAATATACACATACACATAAAATAAAAATAATAAATAATTTTTTTAAAAAAATAGATGCAATCTATATGATTTTTCCCTAACTATAACAGGAAACTATCCCACACAAATTCACTCTGGTTCTCACTCATCATTAACTGCAATTTCTTTATCAACCACCCCCCCTCCCATGGGGAGGGGTATTTCACTGCCAAAAAGACCTAAAAATTGACTGTACACATCCTTTATAACATTTATTAAAATGTGAGATGAGATTGGTCTCAACTTGGGGCCTCATAATAAATACTGCTTCCTATAAAGTGACAGTTCACAACTGCTCATTCACTGTTCCTAACCCGATGTGATTCCACAGACACATATTTCTATCTATGAGAAAACAAAACTTTTTACTCCACTTAGATTAGCACTTTGA